TAGTCCTGTTTAATTTCGCAATTGGTTTCATAGACGTGGAAGCCCAATAGCATGCTCGGTTCGTTGATTAGCTGACTAGATAGATGGTGGTGATGCCAAGGGCAAACCAGGCTGTGGAATCTCAATCTCATTCCCTTCCCAAAATACTGCATAGCAGTTCTGATCAAAAGCTTATTGTTTTAGCAACACCACCAACATCAATTTCAATGGTGATGCCAATGGGGTCCTCAAGGTTCCCAGCTTCATTAAATGATCCTACTATTTGCTACCCTTGGTTCATCTATAAAGCAACTATGTTATAAATAAAGACCATGCACTACTCGTCAGCCAAAAGCAATAGAAAATCTGTGTAACAAACAAATTAATGATGTCCTCTATTAGCTGAACTGATCTTTCAGTTCTTTGTATCTTATTTAGTACTATTTTATATTTATTGTTTTAGCTTTCCTTCCTTCTCCTTCAGTTCTGACACCTTGGGGTTTGAGAAAGAATAAAGAGAGAATAACAAGCAAGGACCCTGTAAAAACAATAATGTCAAATTAAGATTTTTTTTTAACACTAACGTTCCTAAATTTGGTACTCTTTCTCCTATATTTCAAAACTAAAATTCTTGATTTGACATTAATATTTTTATAAGGTCCCTACTTGTTATTCTCTCAAGAAGAAAAGCATATGACAGGAAAAGTTTTTGCCATACATCTTGTGCTGAATGTCACCTTCAATTCCATATATCGTTCATCTATCATCTATTGTAATCGAGTTAGCATTTAAGATAAAATTCACAAATGCTGACAAAGTACACTTGGCTGAAAAATTTCCCCAGGGAGGTGCAGTTAAAAGCCCCCAATACTAGAGTATGAATGTCCTCACGTCAACCATGTTTTACATAATAACAAGAGTAGCATGTTAGATTTCCGACCTCGATTTGAGCGAGCAACATTTTAATCCCTCCACCGGTGGCCACAGTTCGGGTTGCAGCAAACAAAAAACAGTGTCATACCTTCTTCCCCTCTGGCTGTTGCCTGCATAAATTCATAAACTTGTTAACACCCAACTCCTTTCAAATGTGTTTGAATATGCAAAATTATGTAAAATATTGCATTTCTCCAACTTCTGTTTAACTCGACAAGCTTGTAGGCATTGGTGCTAGTAGAAAATATGTTATGTAGCTTCATTATCGAAGAAAATCAGAATGGAAAAGCCGTCCCCCATCCAGTGAAGTCAAGGATGACACAGTTAATTTATGATCTTCCTTCAATTAATTACAAACAAACCAGCGTTCTCAAAGCATGCTGCTTTCTAAATTATATGAATCACCGTAAATTACATATAAACTGTTTTACCTGAATCATGTAAACAGACATCATAACGGCACCGCAACATTTTTTACATTGAAATATATGCTCTATATATTTCATGTCATTTAAGCATCAAATTCAACTACAACGAAAATTATGTAATGTTATATAAGATTTTTAATAATTCTTGTGCATGCACCTATTTTTAATCTATAAATGTACATTTAGTTATTATTGATTTGACTACTATCCAACTACTAATCAATTGTAAACAAGTGCTTTCATCAGTTCAATAACTGAACACTCACAGCACTATATCATCCCATGTTTGAATTTGGATATAATGACCTGCGTATCATTAAGTACAATGTTATTCAATTCTTACATGTTATTTTACTGCCAGAGAAATTTTAGCATATCCTGTATCTTAAGGCTAAGGTTTGAGTGACAGTTATTTCTCTCACTCTGTAACCCTGAGCAGTGCTGTGTGCTTCCACAACAAGAAAACACATATAAAACAGTTCTGCCTCCACTCCACAATCTAGTTTCCCAAATTTAGGATGTTAGAATTAACCTTTAGTGCTAATAATAAGGGAGTTATCATTTTAACGTGGTTCCCACAAGTAGATTCGTGGCTGTCCACAAATCATTAGCATTCCCCTCCTATCCCATCTTAGTGCACAACTGCCCACAGGTAAAAGAGAGACTTAACCTGGAAAAAAACAGCTTCTCCATGGTTGCATTGAGTACAACGGACGGACTTTGTGCGAGGAAGAGTAGGATCTGCAGCTACATCCTGCAACACTTGAGTGCGCTCCCCAACAGAATGATGTATCTCATTTCTATAGACACAGTTATTATCCGCAGCCTCCTGAACAATGATGAGTAAATGATTAATGGGCATATGGCTGAACTTACTCATGATGAAACTGGATGGAGTTCCTCCATAACAAGCACAGGCAATTAATTTTTATAGCAAGGCATAGTGATGTAAAAAATACTTTATAATCAAAGAACAAAAATATGAAAACAGAAATGCTATAATCAAAACATATTTTAAACAAAATAAATATAAAGCAATAGATACTTACAAGGACTAAACCCCATTTTCTCGGTTTTACCTACAGCAAGGAGAGTTTGTTGAAAGACAAATTCTTAAGAAAAATCCCACCATTTGAACACAATCACCACTTATTTCTACTTTTAACAATTGCAAAGTATAAGTTCTAGAAGATTGACAAGACAATCAAGGGATCTTTCCAGTACTGGGTATCTAAGCTGCCCTAAGACTTAAAGACGTCCTTAACACAGATGACAAAACTAGCCAGGTAATTAAAGCTGAAACACGTGAGGTATGGTTCCTTTTATTGCCCAAGGTGAGATATCAGAGAAACTCATGCTTCAATCATTTGAAACAAAATGATACTGAATAAAATAGCCAAGTTTAAAATAAACAAATAAAACTCTGCATTGGCTCATAATAAAGGCATTAGGAGGAAATGAGAAATAAAATGGAGATGGGTTACAACAGCGGTCCATCTCCAAAATTTACATACAAGGAAAAAAGAAAGAGATGTGGATAATTAAGAATGAAACAATGGAGGTGACATGAAAATTGATGAGCAAGGAAAGACAGGAATCAAGAACTTCAGGTTCTTTAGCTTCATTTTAGGAAATCAATCAGCCGGCAACATCAATAATTTGATGTCTTTTTGGATAGACTTTTTTATTTTGCATGTCATTCTGCTGATAGCTGCAGTCATTTTTTTAGGGGGAGGGTGGTACTATACTGGAGCCAACGGTAGGTGCTTCATGCTTCACAGGAGCATGCAAACAGGCATTAAAAGTGAGCATCTTCCTGCAGACATCAAATGATGCTTCTGCTACAAACCGCTGTGCCTTAAATCCTAGGCATCTGTCTTGCTACCTTGGACTCATTGGCTCCAATATTTTAGGCATACAGACAGTGTAGAAGCAGAGCAGACATACATGCTAACTAACCACAGTAAGTATCATATGCCTGGAAGGCTGAGCTTTTTCAATCATCAGGCAACCTATAATATTACAAAGTAAGGACAATCTATAAATCTCAAAACCATCTACAATCATAAGGTGGGTTCATCCCTTGAATCGAAAAGCATCAAAATAATAAAATCCCAAATACTAGGAAAACATGTTTGAAGAATTTGAAGAACTCCAAATAGTACGTATCCTACATTATTATAAGAAAGTTTCTTCCAACCTGAATAGATTTCACTCGCATAATCAAATGAACATGATGTTAATGAAAGTATTCTAATTTGTCAACGTCAGTTAGGTTAAATCGTATGGAACTTAGTACAATTTAAGCAAAATCTTGAATTCAATCTTTGTGAATGGCAAGAAACACATTGGAAGAGCTCCCCTAATTAGGACCTAGCCCAACACGATTTTGGATTGAACGGTAGTATTAGATTTCATATGATTTATCACCCAAAAATATCTAATTTTGGTGCATTTTACAAACATTAGGAGGAAGATTAAAAAGCAACCATGACCTTCTTCAAAACCCAAAAAAATTGGAAAGGGTGAAATTATATCTCAGGAAATTAAAATAATGGTAGGAGATTTTAATAGCTGAAACAATTCGCATAAACTAAAATAATTGACATTTCAAAAGGACATAATTGGTCAATTTGCATTTGATTTTAGGTAGAAATATGGAAATGGACTGTTTCTAAGCATGGAATGTGAGTTGTGGAGTGAATATAAAAACAACAGTTCCATAGAAATCCAATGCTATTCACATATTGAATCAGCCATGAAAAAATAGGATAAATGTGCAAATTTGACCATATATTTTTTTTTCAGAAGCATCTGATAGCCTAAACTATTAAGTGATACAAAATAAATTATTAATTTTCAAAAATGGAGCATCCAGAAACTTGCCATTAATTTCACCTAAGGAATATTATGTGAGGCCCACAACAACACGCGACACTCCACGTCAGCATGTATAAAAGTGCAAATTCAATTATGAACTATTTTTCAATGAGCATTAAGTAGCCCCTACTATGAAAAACAAACTATCAAACACCTTTCCATCAATTTTGATTAAACACGGTTTATTTTCAGACTTATGAGATTCACAATGCATCAATCTCTTCTATTTTCTTGTCTTTGTTTTCAATCTCAGTTTGAGAAAAAGAGGTTCAAAAAGTTCTTAACAAGCTTCTATTTCATTAACATTGTCTTCGTAAATGTCTTCAGATAAAAACTTTTTAAACATTTTCTTATCAAGCTGACATTAAGAACAAAAGCAAGAAGATTAGAGAGATTGACGCGTTGTGAGCCCCATAAGTATGAAAATATATGATGTTTAATCAAAATTAAGAAGAAGGTATTGAATAGTTCGTTTTTTATAGTAGAAGCTACTCACTGCTCTTCCAAAAATAGTTCATAGCTAAATTTACACCTTTACATTTGCTGACGTGAAGTGCTGGTGAAGTGTCATATATCATTGTGGGCCCCACATAATGTCCATTAAGTGAAGTTAATGACGTGTTACTAGATGTTTCATTTTTTAAAATTAATTTATTTCACACCATCTGATAATTTAAACTACCAAATATTTTTGAAAAAATAGTACATGGCCAAATTTGTACCTTTATACTAAAAAAATGCATCAGTTTCAGAATCTTCCATGGTTATAAATAGAGTTGAATAGTCTCGTAATTGTTGACATCAAACCCGGCGCAGAAAAATGCAGCTATTCTGAAATGCAATATTTCATATATCAGACAACTGAACAAACCCCAATGCATCAAAGCTTTGGCATTCTAGCAAAATTTAATGGGCAGAATTGTCAATCAAAATTTATAATTAAGCACCTCCGAAGCAAAAATACATCGAATGTCTATTCAACGAGTCTGCCACAAGCCTAACACTTAGCAACAACGCAAAAACAAGAAGGAAGATTAAAGGGGGAAGGACAAAAATTAAGCGAAGGTAAGTTAAAGAAGAACCTGGTGATCACAGTTACGGCAAGCATAGAGAAGAATCTTCTGCTCCTTGTCCTCTTTAGGATAAAGAATGTTGTTGCTGAAATCAAAAGGTGAAGAAAAAAGTGTGAAAATTGAAGCCTAAGTTCAGTGCAATAAAAGCGTCGTAATGAGGAAGGTAAGGAAAACAGGTAGCAACCATTCGCGGCAAAACTTCATAGTACTCATCTTGAAAGGACGACGAAGAACGAGATGCAGGAGGCGAGACTGAAACCCGGGGGGAGGGTGGGGGGGGACAAAACCTGAAACTTCCGTAAAACAGAAAGCTCAGGGTTTTTCGGTTCTCGCGGGTATGGGTCGCCTTGGCCCTTGGTGTCTTTTGGCGGGCACCTATGCCAAAATCTCCCCTCTTTATTATTTATTTATTTATTTTTTATGCCGAGAGCATTCTAAAATCTAAAAATTTATAATTATTAACGGTATATAACTAAATTTTCAGAGTTCTATTTAAAAAAAAAAAGCTCAATGACTTTTAAAATAAATAAAAATTTAAAAAAGAATGATAATTAGATCTGTTAAATTAATGATAATTACGTTTTTAATAATTTTTTTAAGTTGAAAATATCAATTCCGATTATAATAAATTTACGAGTTAGGTCCAGAATGTTAAATTAATAATAATTAAGTCTCTAATAAATTTTTAAAAAAATAAATTAAAAATACCAATTCAGATTATAATAAATTTAAGAGTTTTAATTGCAATTAAATATTTAATTATCAAATATTACTCTTAAATTTAAGAGAAATTTTTATTTATAACTATTTAAATTAATGTTTATAATTTATTTTATAAAAAAATTATGAGAAATTTAATTATTATTATTATTAATTTATTTCTTTAAAATTTAGCTGTCATTCTCCCAAAATTTATTCCAAAAAATTCAAAGAGGTGGTGTTGATGTATAATAATCCCAACTTCACTGTAAAAACTAAAAGTCTCTTTCTCTCTAATAATCCCAACCTCACCGTAAAAACTCTCATTTTGACGAGAAATTTCAAAGCCGGTGGAGAAGCACATGGAAGGGATTATTATTGTTTCTGTTGTTCATGACTATTTTTGTTAAAAAAAAAGATCTTGATCATATATATTTTTGAATAATACATGATAATATATTCTAATAAGGAACCCCAAAAAAAAATTCTAGTTCACATGTAGAGTTTGAATCTTTTCATTGTCTACCACTTTCCTATTAAGAAGTAGGGGTTGATCAAAAAATATAAAAGCTATATATAAAGCATGCCTAGTAAGATTATGGACACAAAAATTAGTTTCTCTATATATAACGTTTAAAAAAAAAAATTAAAGCTGTGCAGACAATTTCTTGCACACTCGATAATTTATTTGAATAAATATTGATTGCATCAGTTGTGATCAAGTTGATAACCTCAGTGCAATTTGTGAAAATATTTATTCTTTGAAGCTTGAATAGATTATAACAAAGATCAAAACCTTGTACCACCCCAATAATTTTAGTGATGGTAAGAGGAAATTGACCAACATTGAAGTTAAACCCCACAACCCACTTGACTATCCTTGTCTACACTTAGAAGAATCATTCTTATAATTGCTCTCTTTTTCTTATAATATAAGATAATTTGAGATAAGATTATGCATACCAGTAAAGCTCAATAATAACATTTTACAAACTTACTTTTTTAAAATAAAAATATAAACTTTTAAAAATAATCTTCATTTAATATAATTTTAAATTTACAATCATTTCAAATCTTTTTTCAATTGAAGGATAATATTGGAAAAACATTATTAATAAAACTTTACTTCTATCAAATTGTCTTATATTTTGAAATAATAAAATTCCTCTAGCATTGTCTTATAATTTGAAATAAAGGGAATATAAAATAGTAAAGGGTTTGAACACATTTCTTTTTCTTCCTAATGCGTTGCTTAATCACCACGTATAGCGGTTAAATCATAATAGACTTAGCTTGATGTTTACAAAAGATGCATAGGATTAAGAGCAAGAGTTCTCTTGTTCTCTGGAAAAATTTTACTCCTAGATTTAAAGAGTATGTATGATCTTAGAGATCTCCTTAAAATCAACTTGATTCTAAAGAGATCTCTTAAGAGGATTAAGGTTGTTTCCTTGATTTCAGACGCCCTCCAAAAACTACCCATAACCAGTAATTAGAAATTCAAATTCCAAATCAAAATAAAAGGTAACCAACCTTGTCAAAAATAATTAATCAAGTTGAATTTATTGGGGCCGAGTCTATTTTTCTCAACCATTAAGGGTGGATTATATATATCCCAACGCTGATTGATTGGTTCACTATACACTTAAATGTCGATGTGAAATAAATTCATTGAGCTAGAAGTAGACTAATCCTCACAGGTAGGTTTTGTTATAGTGTTTGACTAGCGAAAGTAAAGTTGAAGTTAGCATGATGGAGAGCATGCTTGAAGGGCAAGAATAAAATGAGTATTTAGTTGTCCTTCCTTGCCAGTAGCATTAACAGAAACCAGCTCTGAAGAAGCACAAGCTGTATTTCTATCCGGATTTTGCAAGAGGTTGAATCTGTGGAAGGAAAATGAGCTTGAAATTGAATGCTGCTTATTTCCCCTGTTCACAAAAGCTGGTTTATTCTGCTAAATCGATAAGAAACTGTCCATCAGAGTAACTTGGTTGTGTTGGTAGTGCGTGTGGTTTCATGTTGAAAGCCATTAAAACCATATAATCTCAGTAGAAGCAGCTAATTACATCATCCAAAAGCCAAGGATATAGAATAGAATGATACAGCATAATAATTTCAAGTATCATATTCTGATATGCAACCAAGGATCAGAACCAGTTTATTGAATCAAAACCAGATCAAGCAAACCACTAGAAAGTCATCAACTGAGCGTGATTGAGTTAAATGCCAGATGCAAGGGTTGAATCTGTGAATGAGCTTGAGTGCTGCTTATTTCCTCTCAACAACGTCCACTAGCTTCAACTGTCTCATTCAATGACCTAATGGAGTTTAGTCTAACATATATAATAGATAGCTCCAGTATAATAACCCCAACTCCAAGTGTCTTATTTCAAGCATCGTAGTCTGATATAAGACCAAGGATCATAACGTTATTGAATCAAAACCAGATCAGGTAAATCATAACAGAAGGACGAGTAAAGAGGGTGTTAGACTCAAACGCTAGTGCACAAAATATGCAGGCATATAACCTAACAATTACACACAGTGATTGAATTATTATGACCCAGAATAACACTTCCATTAAGAACACCTTGAGTGAGTCCCACTAGATTGGTGACGCCATTGATGTTTTGCTTTCCGCTGTTGCCAAACAGGCCTATCGCTGCCGACGTGGGAACCGGAGTTGCTGGATTAGTATGGTGGTGCTGGTGGGAAGTTGTTGCTGGTAGTGGTAGTGAAACTTCTGAGATGCTCTTTGCTTTATTGAATTTCGATGTGGTGGGGCTCTTGAACTTGGATTTGTTATCGAAGAGATTGAAATCCTCGTCGTCGTCGTTGGTCCCAAATAGATCGTCATCGTCCTCCTCCTCCTCCTCCATAAAAGCAACTTGTCTGGTCTTACCCTGCCAACTCATATAGACTTATTGGATTCGGAACCTGTTACTGTCTAGTCTAGGACATACTTGAAGGAGCAAGGTCGTTTCCTTATAATAAGTTATACATGTATCTACATGCTAGCGTGAATTCAAAGCTAGTGATAAACAATTAGTTGAGTATTGCTCACGGATTCGGTTACAAGATAAGATCATCCCAGGCTAGAGTTTTTATTCGTTTATATCAATATTATACCGATATAGGATAGATAAAGCACAAATAATGCTATGTGATTTTTAAAGTTTTGTTTATTTATTTATTTATTTTTGGCGAAATTAGAGACCTCTCCTTTATTTTCTTTTCAATCAGTTAATAGAGTCATGTCCATGAGCAACATCAATCATCATCGGCACCGAAAGACTATAAGCACCGATCAAATAACAGCTATAATTAATGCTTTCTTAGATACAATTATCAAATAGTGGGTTCGGTGAATATCCTAAGCACGCTCACTCAACACGATAATAGTTTGATTCAATTGAATAGTTGTTAATGATTCTATTACATACTACTAAAAAAAATATCAAATTTCAAATTTTTAGAGGATATACTACAAGTAAAGAGTGTTCTAATAGCATAGTTTTAAATTTTTAAAAAGAAATATAAATTAATAATTTTCAAGTATTTACTGAATTCAAGTCTATAAATAGGAAATAATTAAAAGGCAAAAACTAATAAGTGATCACTTGTCTCTTCCCTTCGAGTTTGAACTTGGGAAATTATATAAAAGAAAAAACATTCGATAACACGAGAAAGCCTTCGATCAGAAAGTCATTAATGGTGGTGACAAAGTTCAAAAGGAAACCATTACAACTACAACTACATCTAAAACATGAACAACATATATCTAAGAGAGGGATTTTTTTTTTTTTGTTGGCGTGTGCTTGAGGTATGGAAAAAAGAAGACTAACGTAAAAGCCAGTCTCAGCTCAGAAGATCCAAGAGAGGAGATTGGCGGCGGCGGAGACGGCGGCTCCAGCTATTGCACTTTGCACAATCTTCTCGTGAGATGAGTTTTCTGATGTAAGCGCAAGTGTGGCCCCTGTGAGTGCTCCTGCTACTGCACTGTTTTTCTGCACAAAACACCATTAATCATGACATCATGTTTCTTTAGTTTAAGGAATGCTAAGATCATGCTTTATAAATTGAGGAGGCAAATCGCTGTTTGAGAAGATTTACCCAATCATGAACTCCACGAGCCTCCTTTAGGCCATAGGTGAGTCCTGAATATAATCCGGCAGCCAACCCTGCATTAAGACTTCATATCTTATAAGGTTACAAATTTCTCAACATGTCGAAATTAATGACTGGATTTGTTACTAAAATAACATTGCCATTAGTCATACAAGTTTGGTTAAACAGATTGAAATAGCTCAGCTTAATTTGCCTTGTAAACTTGATAATTAGATAATACATTCCATTGATCAAACAGAATCAAGGGAATTCACGTTCTTGTACATGCAAAAGCAGAGGAGATAGACATTAAGGGTATGTATCATAATTACCCCATTGAAAGGACTCCTTTCCGCTATTCTTGACCTGAGCAGGCAAAAAAAAAAGAAAAGAAAAAGGAATTAAGACTATGAAAAATAAAAGGTTCGAAATAAAACTATAGGGAACAAATAAGTATACAAGCTTAGGTTGCTTATAACTCACCATGGTCTCGAGAGATTTACTGTTAGTCTCTCCTGGACGAAATCATAGAGCAAAAGCAAGCAACAACAATACGGCCTTAATTTGTGCAAAGTAAACATGAAGGAGAGTTAGAAATGCGAAAATTAGATGGCGGAATAAGTTGTACCTCCAAGACCGGGAAAACGAGCTTTTCTGGCATCTGAAACATCAGGCACGATGCCGCTAGCATTATCAATGCCCGCACCTAGGAATCAATTTTATGTATAACATAAAATGGATGGCGATTTCAGGAGAAGCAAGCATGAAGTTGAACAGAAAAGCAGAGATGGATGGATGGAAAAGACGAAGAGGGGGAGAAGCATTGCACCTTCAACAGCCGTGAAATAAGCCTCACGGGCCACGGCTTGGACAGCTCCTATCTGCAATATTCATTTTATGGAAATAAGGAAAGCATAAAAAAAGAATAGTGAAATAGAGCGCTATCATAATGAGGCATGTACTTCAAAAGTGGCGATGATTAAGAAAGAAAATGAAAGTACCGCAGCAGCTTTGAGGAAGCTGTTGGAGACGCGATTGAGGAGAGGGTGACCGAAGTCGAAGAGAGGAACTTCGTTGTCAAAGCTACGAAGCTCCTGCATCAGAGATCGGGAATCCAAGTTGCTGCTGCTCATTTTCCTCGCCGATATGATGCTTAATCAAAACACCTCTATTCTCTCGTTCTATTGTGTTCTCAAGCATGCAATAATGCGCCACGCTCAAACTTCCTGATATGCGCGATGATGATGTTGCTTCGACTGGCTTCCACAACACGTTACACGTGTTATTTCCACTCACGCGTGCCTCTTTCTGTTTTTGCCAACACGTTACACGTGTCTCCCTTCTCTGCTTGCATTTTACTGATCTGAACCTTACCCGTCCTTTTTTTCTTATTACCCGTCTTGTCATGTGATTTTTTTATCATAATTTTAAAATTTTATCCATGTGAAATTTTACATTTTATACAACAATTTAATCTTGGAGTTTTTCGATAATCATGACATACCCTCTATACTCTATAGAATTAAAATTAAAGCGCATTTACAAATATTCTACCAACCACTTTTATTTGTATTTAGATTATAAATTTAAGTAATTACTGATTTTTTTATTATTATGGTATGCATAATACTGGCTTATTGAGCTCATTCACCTTTTATGCTAATGTTTTTGAAAAAAATTGTCAAAAAGGACTTCACCAAATTTTATTTTGTAAAGAAAGACTCAGGAGAGATTTAATATTGAGGCTCTTTGCTAATATTAATTCATTAGATCAAATGACCATATTGTCCCTAAGAAAATATTACTCCTCCAAAAATTCTCTCCTCCAGTGAAAGCTTCTCCAGCCCTTGGTAAGTGTTTGCCTCGACAAGGTCTCCCCAACAACCACTGAGGAGAGTGAGCCAGTGTCTTTGAGTGTTGTTATGGTGTGTAAATTGTGCCACTGTTGCCACTATTATGTTTTCAATGTTGTTAATAAAAGGTGAGGAAACTATTAAATAGCAAATGAGCAGCCAAGTGATCGAACTCCATCGCGATCACTAACCTTGCAATTGCAAATTTATCAAAGAAAGACACTTACAATCAAAGTCCATCACTGCCCATACCACATTTCTTCAAGGTTTCTTCCACAATCTTCTTATGTTACCCACAACTTTTCAAGTCCCAGGATCCGTGGCTTTTGTTTGAGTTTGTAGTTGAAAGTATGGTTCCTAGGAAGTTCGTTGAATGATCACAAACATTTTGGTAATCAGTTTTCATTTTATGATTATATTGATTTTTATCAAGTACATGACTTAATTAAGTTGAATCTGGGTTTGATGTGGTATTTGAATGCATACTTTTTGTTTATTTAGTTAAATTAAGTAAAAAAATTTAGTCCATGAAAGAAAGTTGCAATGGATGATTCAACTTGTGATTTCACTTCTAGTTGATTAAAAGATAATGGTCTTTGTGTTTTGCTTGGGAGCTTGTATATATCCAAAGTTATTTTATAGTTTAAGTGAAAGACTTTCTATAAATAAGGACTTTTGATACAACTATGTCAGGTGCTTTCTTGGTCCTTATAGATAGGAAATTTGCTTGGTTACTTTAAAAGCTTCTTGTTCAAGTAGGAAATTTGCTTGGTTATTTTAAAAGGATTTTTCATCTCAGAGCATATGTTGTTACTAAACAACCATTAATTGAGAATTGTTTTTAAGAATATGTTTGACATTTATTTTTCTTATCCTATATTTTGATCTAGAAGAAACCTCAAGTTTATATTATTATTTGTTGCAAAGGATGCCTAGGACTGAGGTTGTGTCATGTAAACTATTTGCTCATGCAAGTCTATAGACATATTAATGTAGAATTCTAGTATACTTGTTTCCACCTTCATTAAGGTCCTAGTTGATCATGTCTATGACACACAATATAGTATATGGCCTATTTTTTACACTTACCCCATCTCCAAGGATATGATAGAGGATGAGATTAATGGATTTAGCTAGAACTTATCTCATCAATGATTCTATATTTTATTAAATTTTTACTTTATCTAGTATAAAGAAGATAAATCAATCTATGAATTACATTTGATGAAACTTTGTTGTTCAGACTTTAATTCTTTCCTTTTGTTTTATAGTTTTCAACTCTCTTCTATTGTTTTTAGTTTTTCACAGGTTCAAATGTAAGAGATAAATTTCTACGAGTAAAAAGAAAAGTTTAAATTTTGTGTATAGGGATAGACCTTGAGCAACCATCTAGAGAATGTCAAGAGGAAGGCAATAGGAATCTTGTGATTGTTGAGGCAGTTGATGGAGTAGATGTTGAATCTTGCTCACCACTATATTTTTGTTTGACAATTATAATTGGAATGGGGAAGCAAGCTCACCTCCTTACTTTTACTATGAGAATGTTACACGTGTTTATAAAGGTGTTTGGCAAACAATATCTAGGTTCTTGTATTATTTTGTTGTAATATAATATAGCTTATATTGTCAAGAGATTAAAAACACGTTATTGTTTAATAATAAATAAATTTGTTGATATTCAATTATTGTTCTTTATGTTGTAAGTTGGGGTGATTAAACTTTACATATAACAATAATAACCATTAAGAATATCTTTTGGTGTTTCATGAAAAAGAATCAAATTTTCAGGATAACCATTAATGTTTTTAGCATATCCATAAGTGTTTTCATGAAAAATGAATAAATTTTCGTAATAACCATATGCATTTTCAAAGTATCATTTAGTGTTTTCATGAAAAATGAGTAAGTCATATGTTATTATACATATATATTCAAATGTCCTTTAAATGTATCATAAAAACATGTGTTACACAAGATCTGAAGCACGTTTTTCAAGATATCACAAATGAATATCATGAAAATGAATATCTATTTCCATTTCATTATCTTTAAGATTCCATTTTATTCAAATATCCCTTATCGATATTTGAAAAATGAGTTTAGGACCCTTATTTTTTAGGATATCTCCAACAATTTTCATGAAAAATAATGTCGCATAAGCTTAGCAACATTACTAACTGTTAAAATTTCATGATATTCCAAATGGTTTTCATGAAAAACTAAGGTAAGAAGATTCAACATTCTCTAAGGTTAACATTTATTTGAAAATACATTTTAGTTATCATGAAAAATAAGGTTACATTGAAGATATCTGCATATATAGCTAGGAAGACTAGTTGTATATCATGAAAGGCATCTACGCCCATAAGAAAATGCATTTTCAAGGCAAATCAATTACATATAAGGATAGATTCCATGAATATATGAAAGAATAATGCACATAACAGGAGCCAATTGCATTTAAGGGAGGTCAAGTGTATATGCAGAGTAACTTTCTCCATTATTGAAAGAGTATTACATCCTATTGAAGATATCTACATATATTGGAAGACTTATTGCATCTCACTGAAAGCATCTACACCCGTGAGAAAATGGACTAGTTGCATTTCGTTTGTGGAAGATTATTGCATTATGTTGAAGATTCCTGCAAATATGAGAAGACCAATTGCATGTGTTTAATGTCATATGCACCCATAACAAAATGGACCTTTAAAGAAGATGCATTACATATACAAACTGATTAGTTGCATATATTGAAGATTTTTGCACATGAAGGGAGCCTACTGCATTAAAGGGAAACTATTTGCATATGTATGATTAGTTTTTCATTCGTGAAAGATGATTGCATTTTGTTAAATATTCTTATATATTAGGGAAGATCAATTGCATATGATTGATATCATATGTATCCATAATAAAATGGACCTTTAAGAAAGATGCATTGCATATATCGACTGATTAGTTGCATATACTGAAGACTTTTACATATGAAAGGAGCCTACTAAATCAAAGAGAAACCTCTTGCATATGCATGGTTAGTTTCTCATTCGTGAAAGATAATTGCATTTCATTAAAGATTCCTACATATAAGGGAAGACCAATTGCATATGCTTAATGTCATATGCACCCATGACAAAATAAACCTTTAAGAAAGATGCATTGCATATACCGACTAATTAGTTGCATATATTAAAAAATTTTGCACATGAAAGGAGCCTACAGCATTAAAGGGAGACCTCTTGCACATGTGTGGTCAATTTCTTGTTCACGGAAGATAATTGTGCTCTGTTGAAGATTCTTGCATATAAGAAAAGACCAATTGCATATCCTTGATATCATATGAACATGTGTATCCCACATATAGCCTTTATTTTCATAATATCATAATTATGTATTTGAATAATGGAAGGATATTTGTTCATTTTTTCATGAAAATGCATATAGATATTCTAAAAATGTGAATGAATATTCTGAAAACATGCTCATTTTTTATAAAAACTCCAAAGGATATTATATAGTTATTCTAAAAATTTGCTCATTTTTCATAAAAATATCTATGAATATTTTGAAAATACAAATAGATATTTTAAAAATTTTCTCATTTTTCATAAAAACACTAAAGAATATTCTAAAAAATCAAATGGTTATTCTAAAAATACCAAACAATATTGTTATATGTAAAATTTAATCATACCGACTTAAAGCATAAAGAACAACAAGTGAACACCAAAAATTGAATTGAATCCAACTTCATTTCATTAAAATATAAAATTACAAATGGTCCCTCTTCTACAATTAAACAAGTCAATTGGCATTTTAATTGACAAATAACATGTTCTTACATCTCTTAACAATATAAACTACATTAGAATAAGATAATATAAAATCTTCTAGTTCTTCACACAATACAAGTGCTATCATTGCTATGTTAACTTTACTAAAGCCCTTTTGGTTTGTTACTCTATCATAATGTGGCTTTAAATGGATGCTCAGATTGCAATCTAATTTGTTTGATGATGAACAATTAACACACAGGCTAGAATTTTCCAAAAAAAGAATGAAGAATAAGAATTAAGCAGCTTCATTGACTTATTCAGTATAGGACCAACTTTAATTTTCCCATCTCTAAAGGAATTTCACCTATCATGTAACATCCTAGTTTTCTGATTTTATAACTAGCTATTAATCAAGGGTGAATTAGTAATTAGTAAAATGATTAGAAATTTAGATGATTACTTGATTATTAGAGTCTTTGGGATGTTGAATGAACAAATACGAATAGAAGAATAGTGTTTTGAAATGAAACGTGTGCGCACAG